CCGACAGCGCGCGCTGGAGGTTGCGCTGGCGTGGCGTGAGGAAGCCCCAGAAAGGGTGGCCGTAGGGCACAGCGGGCACCGGGGGCGGCTCCTCCTCGTCCTCTTCTTCGTCCGCATCCCCTAAGGGCAGAGGAATATCCAGAGAGGGTGGCAGGGGCACCTCCAGCTTCTCCTTCCCAAACAGCTTCACCTGGGGTCGCGGGAAGAGGCGGAACTTGCGGATGAGGGACAGCTTGGACCTGGCGGGCTTGTCCATGCCTTGCTGCTCGAAGAAGGCGGCGCTGGGCAGGCGGAAGGAGGTCCCCTGACGCTCCCCGCCCGCGTCCTCCGGCTCCTCCAGCTCGGCAATGTCATCCATGGGGTGGGCATACGGGTTGTGGGGCGACAGGATGGGCGGTGGTACCCAGGGGTACACAAAGGCCGAGGTCGACTCCTCTGGGTAAAAATAGGGCACCTCGGGGGGGTAGATGGCCTCGTCCCCACCGCCATAGACGCCTTCGACATAGGGGACGGTGTAGGGGACCCCGTAGGGATCAAAGTAGGGTACATCATAGGGAGTGTGGTACGGGAGGTCATAGGGCGGGTATGGCACGTCATACGGTGCATAGGGATCCAGGTAGTAGCCATATGGGTGCGCCTCGCCCTCGTACCCATCGTGGTAGCTGTAAGGAGACGAGTACCCCGACGGGGGCGCATATGGGGGTTCGTAATCGTTGTAGCCATAGCCGTAGCTGTAGGTGTACCCTGGATCAAAGGGGCCACCGTAATAGTCGGGGTGGTAGTAGTCGTAGGGGTCCTCCGGCAGGTACCCGTAGTAGTGGTCGCTGTAGGGTGGCCAAGCCGGGCTGTAGGGGCCGAGGCCCGCCAGGTAGGGTTCCTGCTCCTCGTAGCGGTGGAGTGACTGCCGGTCATAGTAGTCGTCGCCATCGCGGTGATAGTCATAATACTCGCCCAGGTCCTGGAAACCCTCAAGCCCGTACAGCGACTTACGGGAACCCGAGTGATGGAACGGGGCCTCGTCCTCGGAGGGCAGGAAGCCCAGGGGCTCGCCTGACGCGTAGATGCTGCGGCTGCGGGGGAACCTCCGGAGCCGGCCCCCGGGCCGCAGGATCTCGGCACCCGACGGGAAGGCGAGTTTGCGGGAGCCCATGCGAGAGCTCGAGCGCTGCAGCCAGGCGTCCACCGTGGCCTGCTCGCTGCCCGACTCCTCGGCCTTCTTGAGGAGGAACTTTTTTGTGAGCCAGTTGATGGCCGTGGACGCCTTGCTGAGCGACCGGGCGCGCGGCCGAAGGCGGCCGTAGCCACGGCGGCCTGGGAAGCGGATCACCATGAAGGACGGTTTCTTGCCCTTCATCGCCCGCTTCTTCTTGCCCATACGCATCTGCGTCATGAGCTTCGACGTGGACTTGAGCACAGTGCGGGCCTTCTTCTTGCGCTTGGTCTTTTGGGGACCGGTGTGGAGGCCCCAGAAGAAGGCCGAGGCGCTGCGGAACTGGCCCTTCTTGGAGATCTTGGGTGTGCGGTCGCGGAAACCCATGAAGAGCCGCGACGTCCCCTTCAGGCTCCGTTTGGGCTTCTCCGGCTCCGGTGCCTTCTTCCCCTTCTTCCCTTTCTTGGCTTTCTTCTCCTCATCTTCCTCCTTCGCCATGGTGGCTGCCTGCTCTCTACCGGGCCTGGGGCCGGTGTCACGGGCTCAGGGACTTGGAGACACAGGGACCTGCTCGGTCTCCTGCCCGCGGCTGGACACGCGGCCTCCTCGGGCTGGGAGCAGACTGGACTGGCCCCGGGTGGCGTGGGGAGGGATTCCGGGAGGGCGGATCCATAATTCATCTCCTCTAGAGCGCCTTGGGTTTCACCCTAGAGCAGTGGTGGAAAGTGTGTGGGTGTTGTTTACCGGGATGGGGAAGCCTGCCTATGAGGCCTGCGCTGGGGAAGACATTCTTGCCTCCGAGTCGTCATGGCAACATCAGTGCTCATCCTGGTCAGGCCCTCCCTAGGCCACAGCTGGCTCAACCCCCTGAAGGGAGCCCTTGGGTCATTTCGGCTTCACAGACAAAGACATTGAGCCACAGAGATGGAATGCCACCTGCCCTAAATCACCAGCACACCTGCACTGGACCAGAAGTGGAGCCCAGGGTGGGATGGTCAAAGCCCACCAAGTCATCTTGGAGGAGAAGTTTGAACGCTCTAGGTCCTGGGCAAGGGAGGAGGGCAATGAGCAGAGCAGGTGCTGGGCTGCGGTCAGTGTAACGGGAGCTGGCTGGCACTCAGGAGCTGAATAATACATGGGGCGGGGAGCCAGGCTGCTGGCTCAGAAGGCAGGGCACGGAGGGGTGTTTCAGTGGAACTCCACTTCTGTGTGTGTATGTGGGGGGGCGGGGTAGAGAGGCGGAAATGGAGGGTGGGTCAGGCCTGACTCTGACCCTAGGCTCTGTCACTGACTGGCTGTGTGGGTCCAGGAAAGCCTTTGTCCTCTCTGGGCCTCAGTTTCCTCTGAAGAATGGTAGTGATAAGCTATGCTCTGTCTCCTTCACCAAAAGGAAGCAAGACCTGATGGAGCTGCTGGGTAACTGGAGATGCCTCCTACTGGCTCCTGTCTGGGGTCCCTGCCTAGCCCTGTCCACTCCTCTTACTTTCTGCTCTGGCTGAGTAGGCTTTGGCCATATGGTTCCTGCCTTCTCTGGGCATAGCTGATTGCTTCATATGGCCTGACCTAAGGCTGCATATCCAAAGTCTGGTTGGTGGCCAGTCTAACTCACTTTTGAGAACCTGCACTAAAAGAGGTTGTCAGTGGAAAAAACTGGGCAGGCCAGCGGGGGTGGGGAGTGGCAGCTCTGAGACCTGAAGCCTCAGAACCAGCTCTCCTCCTCCTTTTCCTCCTCCCCCTTCTCAAGATGGACCCCAGTTAACATCAAGCTCCCTACTTACTGAACTCTGCTTCAGTCTTTTGGTCCCAGAGCTAATTCTTTGGTTGCTTAAGGTTTAGCATAGGCAACCCCAGAGCAGCAAGGTTCTGGCCCTGGTTCTGCCACTTGCCAGCTCCACGCCCTCAGATCAGTGGCTTCAGAGCCTCAGCGTGCTCAGCTGTGAAACAGGGACAGGGAGAGGCCTTCCCAGGCAAGTGGCAGGAGCGGAGAGGGGACCATGCAGCAGAGGTGGTCTCCCCCTGTCTGCCTCTTCCCCCTGTTTACTTTCTCTGGCTCTTCACTTTCCTCTTCTTCCTGCTCCTCCTCCCCAAGATTCACCTGGAGCCAGTCAGTGCCCAGCCACTCAGAGGAGTTGCACCAGGGGCTGTTGGTGCCTGGTGCAGGCAGTCTCACAGGGATGGGGAGTAGGGCTTGATGGAAACCAGATAAATTGGATGGACGGCTTTTGGGGCAAGTTAGGGGATATGTGCAGGAAGTGGGCCTCTTGCAGAGCAGGAGTTTGAGGGGCTGCCCACTCTCCCTTCTGTTTTTGGGCAGTGGCTCTTGTCCGCTTGAGGAAAATGGACAGGGGAGATGTTCTTTCTTTCTTCTTTTTTTGAGACAGAGTCTCGTTCTGTTGCCCAGGCTGGAGGGCAGTGGTACAATCTTGGCTCACTGCAAACTCCACCTCCCGGGTTCAAGCAATTCTTGTGCCTCAGTCTCCCAAATATCTGGAATTACAGGTATGTGCCACCACACCTGGCCAATTTTTGTATTTTTAGTAGAGACGGGTTTTGCCACGTTGGCCGGGATGGTCTCAAGCTCCTGACCTCAGATGATCCACCGACCTCGGCCTCCCAAAGTGCTGCGATTAGAGATGTGAGCCACGGCGCCCAGCCAAGACATTCTTTCTGAGCCCAGAGATATCAACACCTGCCCCAGCTCCTCTTGGAGCCAGTTTCCAGAGTGAGGCCCCAGTCAGGTGTGTGGCACAATGGTCACAGCAGGTCTGTGCGATATGAGCTATTAGTATCTCTATTCTCCAGATGAGGAAACTCAGACTCAAAAGGTGAAGGGACTTGCTCGAGGCCACCTGGCTTGGGAAGGCAGAACCCCGTCCTGGCCGGGTTCAGCACTACCTCCCTTACTAGGCCCTCCTGCCCACTGAGCTCCTGGGTAATCACTGGGCTTGCAGTGGTTTAGGACACTGGGCAGAGCCGGGAGCATAGTCGAGCTGACCCCATAACCTGCTCCTGCCTGGAGAGGGAGGGCCCTGACCAAGCCACTGGGCAAACCAGAGCCCAGATGGGCCTCCAGCAGGCACCAAGTCCTCTCCAGTGCTTGCCCACAGCTACCCCAACCTGGATTCCTCAGTCAGCCTGGCCCCTTTCCCTAAGGGTCCTGTAGCCAGCATTTACTCACTCACCCATACATTCAAAAGCCTCTGTGGGAAGTGTGCTGCATACTAGGCACCGTCTAAGTGCTGGGGACACAGCTGTGAACAAAACAGAGAAAAACCCTGCCCTCATGCAGTTACCAAATGTGGGTGGAGGGAGAGCCAATAAACATGGAAAATCAGTAACAGATAATGGGGCACAAGTGCTGTGGAAGGGACAGCAAGAAGTGGGGGTGTGACATTAAACAGGAAGTCAGGGAAGGCCTAGTGGCTATGGGGCCATGGAGAGAGCCTGTGGGCAGTGCACAGTCCCAAGCAGATGGAGGAGCAGTCAGACCAGGTGGTTGGAGGGCAGCGGGGGTGCACTGGGTGGTGAGGTCAGAGTTCAGGGGCACACGTGCAGGGCCTGTGGGCCACAATGAGGGCTTGGTTTCGACTGCCAGTGAGGCAGGAGCCGTGGGAGGAGGGTTTTGGCAGAGAAGGGATGGAATTCGACCTCAGTCTTTTCTTTTTTTTTTTTGAGACAGAGTCTCGTTGTGTTGCTCAGGCTGGAGTGTGATGGTACGATCTTGGCACAGCAACCTCTGCCTCCCAGGTTTAAGCAATTCTCCTGCCTCAGCTTCCCAAGAAACTGGGATTACAGGCACACATCACCACACCGGCTAATTTTGTATTTTTAGTAGAGACAGGGTTTCACCATGTTGGCCAGGCTGGTTTCGAACTCCTGACCTCAGGTGATCTGCCTGCCTTGACCTCCCAAAGTGTTGGGATTACATCTGTGAGCCACCAAGCCTGGCCTCGACCTCAGTCTTGATAGGAGCCTCTACTGCTGTGGGAGAAGCAGCTGCAGGAGTGAGGGTGAAGGCAGGGAGGCCAGCGTGGAAGTTTCCATGGAGGTCCTCCTGCACCAGGCTGCCAGCTGTTAAGGTGTGGAGAAGTGGTAGGATGCTGGGGACATGTGGCAGGTAGGGCTGACAGGATTTGATGATGGGGATGGGGGAGGGTGCAGGAATGGCTCCCAGGTTTCGTTACTGAACAGCAGGGAGAATGGAAAGGCCGTCAGGTCATTGGCCAGGATGAGGAAGGCTGCGGGCAGAGCAAGTTGAGGAGGTAGGGCCCAGGAGTCAGCTTTGGGCACTGGGCACTGCTAAGGGGCCATCACAGCCATCAGGGCTGGTGACATCAGTTAGGGAGTCATCGGCATCTAGATGGCATTGAAGCCACAGCTCTGGAGGATGACACCAGGGAATGAGTATAGAGGGAAGAGAGGTCACGGAATGAGCCGCAGGGCTGCAGTGCTTAGGAGCCAAGGAGGCAGTGAGTGAGCACCACGAAGCCAGCCAGAGGAGGAGGTGGAGGCCCAGGAGGGAGTGGGATCCTGGGGGCTGTGCAGGAGGGCGGGACTGCTATGACAGATGGGCACATGGCCCATGTTAGTCAAGAATGGAGAGCTGACTAATGGATGCAGCTCCTTAGAACTCCAGGGGTGACTGTGACAAGAGTGGTCCCAGTACAGTGGTGGGGGCGAGGGAAGTTACACCTAATGGAAGAGGTTTCAAGAAAGACAGGACCAGGGCCAGATGTCGTGGCTCATGCCTGTAATCCCAGCACTTTGGGAGGCCAAGGCAGGTGGTCAAGAGTTTGAGACCAGCCTGACCAACATGGTAAAACCTCGTTTCTACTAAAAATACAAAAATTAGCTGGGCATGGTGGCGCATGCCTGTAATCCCAGCTGCTCGAGAGGCTGAGGCAGGAGAATCACTTGAACCTGGGAGGCGGAGATTGCAGTGAGCCAAGATCAAGCCATTGCCCAGAGCAAAAACTCCGTCTCAAAAAAAAAGGATAAAAAAAGAAAGACAGGACTGCGGTGGTCACAAGGCGGGCCCACTTGTGAGCATACTAAAACCACAGGATTGTACACTTTGGTGGGTGAATTGTATGGAGGGCGGACTATATATTGACTGTTTTAAAAAAGAAAAAGGACAAGAGGGAGGGAGGGAAGGAAGCAAGTAATCCACCCCTGGGGATGTCTCTTACATGTCGTTATGGGTAAGGATGAACAAACAGAGCTGCTTGTTGCCGCAGTACACCACAATGCATTCCAGGATGGAACATAGCACAGCTATAACAAGGAATATGGATGATCTCTGTGTCCTGACAGGGAGCGATCTCCAGGACCTGCTAGTGTAGGAAGCAGGCTGCAGAACAGCCTGTTGACTACAGTGTTTACTGAGGCCTTTCTATAGGGGGAGAGAGAGAGAGAGAGAGTGTGTGTGTGTGTGTGTGTGTCAGGGGAGGTGGGTGGTAAGAATATAAGTTTGTATTCTTGTGTTTGCTTTTTTTTTTTTTTTTTTTTTGAGACAGTCTCACTCTGCCAACCAGGCTGGAGAGCAGTGGTGCAATCTCAGCTCACTGCAACCTCCACCACCTGGGCCTCAGCTTCCTGAGTAGCTGGA